TGATGGAACAGGCAACTTATCCCCTACCACAAGTCAGCTGGGCAGAAAGCAGGCTACATAAGTTATGCATTAATTCAGCATAGGCTACTTCCATTTGAATTGTCTTGCCATCTGTCCTTTGAGTCCTTGACCTCACTATTGCCACATTATTCGGCATCGCTACCTGGAGCAAAGGGTCCTCCTGAACGTCATGCCTCAGCTATGAATTGATTCTTCACTGAGATTAGGCCGATTTATCCACCACCGAATGGAAGCCTCTGCTACCGCATGCAGCACCTTTTCTATTGTCACATAGCAAATCTTGATGCCTTAAGGTCGTGCCTTTTATCTGTCACATGACACGCACTTTTTTTGGGTCTTTACATTTCCAAGGATGTCATTTCTGCGGATAGGAAGAGTTGGAGTGGCAGGTGTTTTGATACCATCAAAATGACAGCCAAACCCCTTATTTAGGTCTTTTGCTGTGGAAAAGAGCTTTCCACATCCACTAAACGTTCAGATTCCTTTAAACCGTGACAAAGATGTCTTTTGGGTGAATTACGCCTTCATTTATTATCCATTCCACAGGAGCTGGGTTTTAATTTTCACTGCCTTCGTAAAGACAGTTGGTCATTCTTGTCAAGCCTACCCCTCCGCCGCTTGCATTCTTCACCTGAATAAGAAAATATTTCAAAAGTCTGCGAAACATGCTTGGCAAAAACGTCATTACGATTTACTTAAAGAAAACAAAAAGAAGGCAATTAATGAATAAGTAAATAGCGAAAGTAGACCACAATGTGGCCTCCTTCCCCTATTGGCTGGAAGCAGTCATAACTTCGCCCTTATCCCCCGCCCCTCCCCTCCACCAATCGGTGTGGATCAATAGGATGCGCAGATCCAAAATCCACACGCACACACACACACTGTTCGGTTCAGCGTGACTCATCACGGTCCTTCTGCTGTCTTCTTGTTCGCATACATACATTCTCGTATTTACGTAGGACCTGTGCATCGGCACCTCTTCTCTTTCTTGCGTCGAAAAGTTGCATAAATTAGGCAAAAAAATGTGATGCAAAGTTTGTTTTTAAAAAAATGAAGACTGGAAAAACACCCGACTTTTTGCTTTTTGCGACTGGTGGATGCACTTTCAAGCAGCTGCAAAGGTTGCCTTCAGGCTTTACGGATGAGACAATATTAAAGGCTCAAGGTTCTTTCTAGTAAACTGTAAGTTATCTCCGCTTCTGCATTCAAGTGGAGTGAAGGAATCCTTAAATGGGAAGAGTAAATTCACTTTCCTCCAGAAATGTGATTAGCTTACGCATCCAGCCAACCAGAAAAGGGGAGGGGGAGAGCATGAGTCTGGCAATGACGCGGCAGTAGCCAATCAGAATGAAGGGCTAATTGTATTGGTTTGATTGATTCACTTTGAGCGCAAGTTTGCGCCATCTTCCGTCTTCTTAGCTAGCATTACTTCAGCTCTCGTTTGAAGTTTCGGTGAGCATCCTTCCTCCTTTACAGTCATTTAAGGCAATTGTAGCAAAATTTTCGCGGTCGAATTTGATGAACAAATTACACCTCACTTTTTTTCTCCCCACAAACCTGTAAAGACAGTTTTGGGGAAAAAATGTTTTTTTCCTTAATGAGTTAAAAATTTTCGTATGTTTTCATGCCAATTTTCTAGTTTTTGCTTATTAGAAATTATTTTGGTGCTCGAAAAATTTGCGTACAACCATGAAATTATCTCCCTCACCCCCTCCCCACCTTTGCCTTGACCGATTGGTTGAAACTAATGTGCATTTTTTTATCCATTATCTTGATTGTTCCACATATCCTTGATAAATTTGAATTCAGATCATGTTTTAAGCAACACGCTTTGAAATTATTGCTTTTTTTGGGATGGTATTAAAGCCAGTAGTGCGTGATAGGTTTGCACCATCGACACACCTTTATTAGTGACGTTTGCTATTTGGCTTCCTTTCTGCTAAGCACACATATCACAGGAAATCATTTGTTAGGAGTTGGTAAGACAAGAGGTGTCATATTTTTCTTTTTTTTTGAATTTTTTAATCGACCGTCAAATACTTGAAAATGCGCGATGGACGAAAGTAAGATGGTGATGGAATGCAAAAGAGAAAAAGGGAATTGAAGAGCTTGCATCCAAGCAAACGCTTTTCGATTGCAAGTGCTTTTTTAATGTTCCCATAATTAAGGGAAGGAAAAGAAATATTACCAGTTTATTGCCTCGTATAAGCAGTGAATAAATATAAGCCTTTGTGATAATCGTTTCGATGGCATTTAGCCATGACACCATTAAGGGATTCTTAGCATTTACCTATTGATGCCTATTTTTACAGCGTAGCTTCTTTAAGCATCCAGCATTTCCTAGAAGGAAAAAAAGCAGATGTTTCCTGTTTCACTGCGCAAAAAACCTTACACTGCCATTAAATCTGTCGTAAACAACGTCAATAACCTGAGGTCATTGCTAATAGTCTTTCTCCGTTTAATGGTCTTGTTAATAAGTAGGAATGACTCATTTTTCTCCCAATCTGTCATTTTCTTGCTTACTTTTAAACCGCGGTTTTTATGCCTTCTTGTTTTCCTTCCTTACCTTTCAAGAAGAAATATTGCTGCAATGTAACCTTTCTTTCTTCCCAAACAATGATAACTAACCTGTCCAAGTGCCAACTTTTCAGCATCAGGTGCTATTGGTAACCTGGCCCACTGTTTATCTTGAGTAAACAAAGAGTTGTCAAGTCAAGGGACAGAGATTGATCCACCACTCGGGTTTAAATTTTCCATTAGTGTTAGTTGACGTTTTGAAGGTTACCTCTTCTCAGCCTCTAGATGTTGTAAGGGTTGGAATTGGCCTACATTCATTGCACGATTTTTCTGGAGAACACTGTTGCCACATCGACTAAGGAGAGAAATGCCCTTCCTCTGTGATGCAATTGTTATACGAACATGCAGTCGAAAAGTTATCAGGTTAAGTGGTGTGCCAGATAGAAGTATTCACTCGACAAGTGAAGACGTGGTGAAGTAGAAGTCCCCTCAGCTTCGTCAATTATAGTACTCTTCTCAAAAGAAATGAGAAAATGTACTCAATTTTATTTGATATTGTTTGAATCAGTGAGAACATTTTGACAAGGGTTTCAGGAAACAATCACAATGGGGGTAAAATTGCTACTAATTAGTGCAGCATGTACTTCGTGTTGCACTTTAAAAACATGAATTTACCTAAAATTGTGAAGCAAATTAGTTGTGATAGTAAGGCCTTTACTTTGACATTGAAGGCATGACGTTCTTTATTCCCTGAGATTTTAGCTATCATACTGAACTTCCACATTTTCACCAAATTTTTGTTCAGCGGTTGTTTTAAGAGCTTTTTTTTACTATTTTGATTGTTGTCTAAAATTTCTTTATTTTGTTTATAATAACATTTGCTAGAAGAATTGCATTTACTTGTCCAGAATATAGCCCGGCTTGGCGGACTGTCCTCAAAAATGTGCATTGTTTATGCAATTGATTCAAACAAAATACGACCTTTGATAATTTTTTTAGACTTGCTGCTTATGTATCCAAACCATAGTTGATTGCTGTGAAGTACTTTATTTTTGATATAAATTTTTATGAAGTCTAAACCAACGAGGCTATCAGTTATTTATTATACCACCATAAAACAAACGAAATCACGTGTAATTTACCATATGAATCTAACATGCTTTGCACTAGTGTAATTAGGTGGCGATTAGGCTTAAATTGCAATGTACAAGTGTTGATTAATAATTTTTAAGGAACGTAAAGTCGTCAATGAAAAGACCTCAAATGTTCCCCATCTAGTGGTGAGTCGACAGAGTTCCTGTCGCTCCGATACATCCCTCTCACCCAGTGAGTTCGACCGCATGATCAACACCAATTTTCCCCAAGTTCTGGCCGCTACTGACGACATCGGGTTCGAGTCCATGCGAAGTGACGCCACAAACATTACTAGTGCCGGGCTGAATACGCTCTACCTCCAAGCAAAGTCTACCTCTACACCGTCTCTCCTAGTCGAAGTCTCGCCTTCTGATTCGACGAGAAAAGCGGTCAATAATCTAGAACGGTGTCTTCGGGACATTGGACCAGAGTCTGGCATTGGCATCTCTCCTGCAGATTTCGGTGATTACGGATCTGCCGTCAACAATAATCCCACAAATAGTAACCTTCTCGCTCCTCCTTCTCTAAGTGGGCTTAATGAAAATCAGTGGAGCTTGAATTCCAGTCTAGAGGCGGAAGAAGATGGTGTTCTGGCAGAAGAGGACCCATGTAAAATATTAGTCTATACCACACCAGAAAAGCGCGTTGAACGCCAACTCTACTCCCTGGATGGCAATCGTCGTTCTTCCTTTGAAAGTGTCTACTCTCCTCCCGTTGTTTCCGAACAGGTTGTCCTCGAGGTGATTCACCAGACCACTCCAAAAGCAACTGTCCTACTTCAAGACGACAAAACTGAAGTACGTCCTGCGAAAGAAATCTCTCCTCCTCCGAGAATGCGTCAAAAGTTCGGCGCTGTTACCCCTCCTGCCACTTCGGTAACCACATCGATCAGTGAAATTATCTCCAGTCCACCCACTGAAACGGCTCTTCCTTTTCTTGACAAGAAAGAAAACGACCATGCGGAGGAACAAAGCAATGAGGAAACGGAGGTTTCAACAACCCGATCAGCTGCAACACTGGGAAAAAAGTGTGTGTACCAGAGTGGGAACCAATCAGAACGAAGTGACGCGAAGAATGGACGCAGTGCTGCTGTTACAACTACCATAACAGTGCCTATTCCTGGTAATCTGCAACCAACCACCGAGGAGAAAATTGTTCCAAAGCCCCGCATTCAAAACATTGTCTCGAGATCACGACGCATGGAGAACGAGGAGGATTACGAGTGGGCCAAGAAGGTTCAACAGATCGCTCAATGGCAAGCGGATGTAAATTTGGCGATGCAGGGAGTTAGCAATGGAGCATTTATTGCCTCCCCGGTGGAAGATAGTGTGGATGATGAGGTCTCCGATGTACAACGACCAAAGCCCTTAAGGCGAAAGAATCTGCAGCAAGTGCCACTTCATCAACAACAACAACGATATCCGACCATGGTAACTTCAAGCATATTTCAATATCAACCGAAGCCTTTCAGCGGCAATAAGTTGGAGAGCACGGTAAGTTGCGAGCTAACTCTCAGAATTAAAAAAGCAAAAAATTTTCTTAAGCTTTTGATTGTTTTTTTCTTCAAAGAAACATCTCCTTCAACCACAACAACAGCAGCACGAGAACCCGTACGAGAGCAGTAGGAGGGACGACATGTTTTCTCGACGATTTGGTGGCGCCCAAAATCAGGTGTACAGCCCATCCCCCAGACTTCCAAACTCTACGAGCCCGTTTCCAACATATTCACAAAATGGGTAATTTTTGTCTAAATGTACTTACTCGCCAATTTGCCTATTTGCTCATTTTAAAAGAAAATGGTCTAAAATGTGGGAAAACCTTGCCATTAAAATTGTTAATAATCATGATAAATAATTGGTTTTATTTGTTTTTTAAGCATTAAACAACAAAAACGCATATTGGTGTTTTTTAAGCCCGAGATATTCCCAGACGGCCAAACCTTCGCGTGAAAATGTCACCTACCAGGTGTATGACTCGACAACTCCCAACGGCAGACACTCATCTCCCTCTACACAATTCCAGCCAAAAGGTAAATACACAATTTTTTTTCAAGTATTTTTTACGAGTGACACCGATTAAACCTAGCGCGGCACTTAAATCCACCAATCGAATCGCAGCTTTCACCTCTGTTAATGCATTAAGTAAGTGTGGATCAAATTACCGCAATTTTAAAGCAAAGATTATATAAGTCAGCCAAGAAACACTGATAAATGGCCTTTCTGTAGAAAGTGTGATTAGACAATGGTCACTTGTCATGCGTTTGAATAGCCGTGATTCCTTTTCTCCACCGAAACGACAGTTGTTCAGCAACTGAGGTGAGGCATTGTGGACCTTTTAAATGCTGGGGCGTCTATTTGCAGTCAACCTAGTGGTACCCTGTCCGAGGACGGTGGTAGCGAGGCCCTCCGCGCTCGGCGGTGATGCGTTCACGCCGTGTCCACGACCCTGCCTCTCGGGTTATGCGGAAGCACTCAGTCTAGCAACTGCTGCAAATAATGCGGTGGCAGAAGCCTTCAACAGACGTGGTGGTTGTCACGGTGAGGTGCATGAGTCATGCATGCAAAAAGTTTGGAAAATTGGAACATGCCGAGTGCGGTTTTGGCACGTGACAGTCAAATTTCAGCGAGTTGGTACCTGTGTGACATGAATGTTCACACAGAGAAGACAAGTACGCAATAAGTTGAAGTAGGTGCTACCTTTTTGACCAAACAACGATATATGGCCACATTAAATGACGGTTTTAGCGTTTCAAAACTCCTGAATTGGGCTAATATCCGCCACTTACTTTTCCTTCACTCGCCTCCAGCTTGGGTAGACGGACACCTCAAGGAGTTTTTAAACCGGAATCAGCTCGTGCCAAACTTTTCCTATCGTTTGCAGTTTGGAACATCTCTTCATATAAAAATCAGTCTTTTTTTAACATGAGATGGTTAGGCTGCTCACCGAGGCCAGAGCCAATAAAAGGATGGTGATTGTGCCACCACATTCCTTGACCTTGGCTAAATTTGTTATATCTACGCAATAAGACGAAATCGTCTCTCTTGAAAGGCTGGCCAAACTGCAGAATCTTCAATTTAGAGTTTGACAAATAGTTCGGATAGCAGCGGTGTCACTTGTCATGGACGACGCTCAGTAGCCTTAATTGTCCGTCAGTAGTAATGTAGCAAGTTTTTGACGGGCAACCTTTTTAGCCAGGTTATTGTGAAAGTCATTTGAAAGTAATAACTTTCCAGTAAATGCGGGACTTGTTGAATAATTCCTTTATTAAGGAATACACTCCTTAGAGGAATAAAATACGCACGTAGACGACAAACTGGACCGCAAAAATCCTGAAAAAAAAATCTCCGCGACACGTATGCCACAATGGAAAAGACCGATTGGACGAATGTTTGTCCGCCTTAGAATGCACTTCCCCACGTATGCAAGGTGTTATCGTCATTTTTTTTCGTTTAACAATGCACACAGTTAAAATTTAATAAAGTTATTATTTGCGTAATCAAATTTTCGCTAAAAAATGTCAAGCGCATTTCAAATGTCTTTTAACACTTTGGATTTGTAAACTAAGGCGTCGGACAGCGCGCTGCAGACAGGCTGGTCGTGTTTGAACCATTAAAACAAATAAGATTTTTGCTCCAAGAGTACATTTCTAGGCTTTTGGGCACGATGTTTACATATAAAAATTATTTGAATTTAATCTTAGATGCATACTTAGACCAAGATTTCACCAGTACGCAACTTAAGTGAATTTAATTAGTCGAAAAAAAATTTTTCGTTATCACGTCAAACGGCGCTTTTCCAAAAAATTGAAATAGTTTCATTCTTATTTTTAATCAGTTGTCTAATTGCGAAAGTCATTAATCTGGCCTGGTTTGAATACCGCGGTGAAATAATTAGCACTATGAAACAAATGCAAAATGTAAAATAAAACACTAAAGGACAACTAAACATTTTCGGCTGAAAATTTATTTTATTTTTTTGACTATGTTAGTCCCACTAGTTGTAGGAACTACAGCGCCTAACTACAAATGGAATGCAGGCAAATTTCGAAAATATTTCTGGTTAAAGTAACCCTTCCTTAAATATGCGTCTTTAAAGGCAAAGTGACGTTGCTATAAAAAAAAACAATAAGAAATCTGCTTAAATCCTTTTTCAAAATTAAAAATCACACGTTAGAATCCGTCGACATATGGAGATGGCATGATATTTATCGCCTCCACATCGAAAATAGAAGCCTATCACTTCCACTTGTCTCAATCTCGCTTGCTGCCAATGCATGTGTAAGTGACTTAAAATTCTGTATTTTCTTTAACTCACATTCAAAAAATACCCACCAAAGCTCCCACAGCCAAACACCACCACCACCGCAAACCGACCGCGGCGTCAGTGATGCGCACCGCACCTAATTACTGGTAAGTCGCGCAGCGCCCACGGAATCGGAACCAAAAGCATGTATCTGTGACTTCCTTCCTCCCACTTTTGTCGATGTTCTTTTTTAAGCACGCCCGCGCAATGCACAGCCTCCGGTTGCTCGGGAAACTTCCATTTGAATGCTTCGACTGCCTGCATGAGATGCTCGCGTAATTGTGGAGAAATTTTTTTTCAATTCCTACTTACTAATAAATGTCCCTTTGTATAGAAGAGTATTTCAAGCCCTTATAAATTGTATATGCTTTCAGTATTTGCTGTTCAAGTAATGCCCTTGTTTAAATCGGTGGTACGTTTCGTGAGGGCTGGTTAAATTCGCACGTAATGAATGGGGAAACTTCGAAGTTAAGAGAAAAATCCAACCCTAAAAACTTTCTCTTCTGCCTCAACTTTCTTGCCCTCTAGTCTGTTCCTCTTCCCCGTATGAAGGCGTGATAATCAGGAATTAGGCGAGAATCGGAGGAAATACGGAAAGTGCAATAAACAAACCTGTTTCCCACCTCGTAAAGTACAAAACTCGTGGGAAAGATTTGCGTCAAGAGGCCATTCAGTGTCTTGAACATAAACGTTGTTTACAAGATGTAATTTCCCAAATGGGTCATTGCTGTACCCATAACTGGTGGAAGTACCTCAGCCATCGTTACTACGTGAGGTGGCCCCTAATAAACCCCTCAAGTTGCAGTCCACCACACACGCTAAAAGGAAGTGTGCGCAGGCGTTTGCGGGTGAATAGATGCTTGTCCTCGGCGGTAGTTAAATTGGTTAGTAGGAAATTCCACAGGTGGAGGGTATGCGTAAAGTAGGGTGAAGGAAATGAAGAGGAATGCTGCTAGCTTAAAGCTTGTTAGTATCTGTCAATGCAAATATCTTGCACAATTTATTTCAGTGAATGTGCATGCAGACGAGTTTTGCATCTCCGCTCACCGCAATCACTCAACGACAGCTTTTAACATCACAAATCCACAAAATCAAAGAGCTGGAATACATCGGAATGTAAAAGAGAGCTTATTAGGCAATTCTAGAGCTGACGTGGATCGCCTGTGGATTTGGTAACAGGTTTAAATCAGTAAAGCGCCAAATGAGGGAGTAGGGAGTCAAAAGAGTGGAGGATGAGTGGTTTATAATGCGTGCATACAAACATGGAGCTACGTCGGAAGTCGCATGTATTTTTTGGTAAGCGCGTTAAAAGGAGATTGACTGGAGATTGGAAACGCCGCTAGTACTTAAAGATTAGCTCAATTTTTAACGATATTTTATCGAGTCCAGGTTTCTAAGACGCTAATTTCGCCGCATGAAGTCGTTACATACGAGCTAAAAATCGAAGGCTCACTAAAGCGTTCTGCTAAGAACGTCAAGAGTGAAGCGGGACTCGGAAAACTCGTGAAGAAATCGGCGTGTACTAGGCACAGAAGACGAGCACGCATCCTAACAAGAGCAATGAACATTATTATCCGGATTTGAATATATTTTGGCCATTAGGATTTAAAGACACGGAAGAAGTTTGTCAGCATTGAACCAAGAAGATCTCGAGGTTCCAAACTGTGTAAACAAGTTTATAGCTGGCGCTACTGTTTGACCACAAAGAGTGATAGAGTAAAACATGCTTCTTGCATTGATAAAAAAACAATTAGATTTCTTTTCTAAACACGAAAACAAACATAGATAAAATAAGATTTATAACCTTGTAGAATTTTTTTCAGTTGTGAAAACTAAAATCACCAAAAACCCTTTCAACAGAGGTATTTAATCAAATGTAGATTTTAGGAGAATACATGTGCAAGGATTTTCTTTTTGACACTATTCTGTATGTACACCACAAATTCATTCCGAAACAAATAAATGAAACGTCACTTTTACTTTTTTGGACATCAAAGGTGACCTTATAGCACAATGTTATTGTTTCTAAAACATACTTGACACAAGCTTTTGGCAAGCAAAGAATAAAATATTTCCAAGTAGCTGGTGACTAAAGAAATTGGTGTAGTATTCTGACTAGCTCGTTTCAGGCGTCATGGTGTCAGAGGACGGGACTTGTGCAATCCGTGCGGTTGTGTGTACACGCTATATCCTTGATACGTCTCTCTCCACCACATCCATCTTCCCCTAAACCCACTTGCATTACTTTGATTGTTGGCCAAAGTCTTGGCGACGGGATTCCTTTTTACACCCCTGCGGAACTGATTTTAGCCCGTCAAGTCTGCTGCGCTTAATTTAGAGAGTTTCGGCTAATGGGACATGCACTTCCAATGCATTAGATGGATGGACATATCACCTGTCCTCCTTGAAAGTTTCATTCACTTCTTCACTCATTCAATGGTGTAGACTAGCACAATAGATTTTGTTGCAACCATCTAGTGCTATCGATGAGTTTATTTACGAAATTAAATATTTTTAAACAATTTTATGTAAAAGGTGGTACAGCTCTTCCTGGCCTCCGTTATCATTCGATCCATGTGGAACTGATTCCCGTTAGTTAAGCTGACCACCTTGAGACAGGTTATATAGCTACGATAATCAATCACGTTAAAAAAGGAAATTTTTACTTTAAATTATCTCACCTCTATTGGTGAATTTAGGAGGAAAGCAAGATGCATTTTATAAGTCTTGCCATTTCTGTCCAATAAATGTTCCCCAAATTAAAGTATGTCTAAACAGAAAAGGTGTGTTCTGTACACACACGCATGAATTGTTTATTTAACCAAAAATGTTCCTTTTGCATGCCTTTTGGTGCACTCAGGCTTGTGCTGGCTGCCTGCGTACGTTTTTGCAACAGATGGTGAAGCACTTTACTAACATTATTTAAGTAGCAATAAAATAACATCTAAAAATTAGATTTTTCATTAATTTATATGAGGCCTCTCGATTACCAAAATGGCTGGCATGGCAACACTCCGAAATCTCAGGTCATTGCCACCTCACTCCATACACCTTCCATTGCTGAAGGCTGCATGAATGGTAGGCAGTCTAGATTCAATCTCTTGATGGTTTTTACTCGTGAGAACTTCCGAGTTATGACCACGATATCCATTTTTCCAGATCCACACCCACAGCATATAAAGTTACCAGTTTTTACTTCGTCCTTTGTTGGAACTGGTCGAATAAGGGTACCGGTAAGGCCTATTCAGGCTTCCAAGGAGGCATCGCTAAATATAGCTCCCCAAAATGGATACGCAAGATTTTCAAGCCCTGCAAAACTTCTTCGAAATGTTGTCAC